AGTAAAAGAAACTGAAATTCCCAATGCTCAATGTTTTTGGCTCAATATGTCCAAAATACATGAACTGGCCCAGCCGGGTGGCTCATGCCTATAATCCGACACTCTAGAGGCTGATGGATTGCGGTTGAGTCAGGAGTTCAAAAACCGCCTATTGCAAGAGCGAGACCCGTCTCTACTATAAATAGAAAGAAATTAATTGGCCAACTAATAGTAGATAGAAAAATTAGCCGGCAGTGCGGTGCGATGCCTGTAGTCCCAGCTACTCGGGAGGCTGAGGCAGCAGGATTGCTTGAACCAGGAGTTTGAGGGTTGCTGGAGCCAGGGCTGACGCCATGGCACTCACTCTAGCCTGGGCAACAAAGCGAGACTTTGTCTTAAAAAAAAAAAAAATAGCATTGAACTTGTGTGATTGATATAAAAAGTTTAATAAGGTATTTTACACTATTTCTTTAGTTACGAGACCAGAGTCTTCAAATCTAATCAGCACCAGTGCATCTTGATTCAGGCTAGCCAAATTAGCCTATGTGGGCTAATGGCTACCACACTTCGGACAGTTGCAGGTGAACCTTTGGTTTTTCTTCCCCTCAGGTATTTAGGATCATCTCACCCTCCCTTGGAGATGGGCTCTGCGCATTCCCAGGTCTGGGTGCCATCACATAACTACCACCAGTACATGTGTCGACCCTTGGGTATTTAATAATAGTGCTTATCATAATCCGTACCAACCTGTTTGGTATTAGTCTGCCAGTTAGAGTTTAGGAGCTGCCTGGATGACGGGGGGACATGTCTTCCTAACTTGTTTATCCCAGCACCTGGCAAATGTTTATCACAGAAGAACTATGATTTCACGTTATTATGTTAAGCAGAGAATAACGCACTAATTGTCCCTAATAGGTGCGAACTTGGATGACAAACAGTAAGTACAATCTCCTCTAATTGAATACTTATCACTCGTAGGTACTCTGTCGCAAAAAATCTCTATGTCTTAGGCTTTTGTTTAAGATCCTTTTCAAAACAAAGACAATCTCAAAGCCAAAATTTCACAATAAAGGTAAAACGATTTAATATAAGCCAAGTTAATTGTGTACTATTCCTGTTGAGTCCTCGTCAAAGAAGAACCCGATAGGAGATTGCTCGTTAGCTCAGAGAGATAACTAAAACTGGTTCATATTTTTTAAACAAAGGCAGCGAGGGACGCATCTTCGTCGAAGCGCAGGCTTGTGACTCTCAAGGGCTTTTGCGTTCACCGAGGCCAATCGACACGATTTGATCGTATTTGCTGAAAAGGGTGGATTAATAAAATGTGGTATATGTATACCATGGAGTACTATTCAGCTCTAAGAAACAACGGTGATATAGCACATCTTATATTTTCCTGGTTAGAACTGGAACCCATACTACTAAGTGAAGTATCCCAAGATGGAAAAACAAGCACCACATATACTCACCAGAAAACTGGTATTAGCTGAGTAGCACCTAAGTGGACACATAGGTACTACAGTAACAGGGTATTGGGGAGGGGGGAGGGGAGAGGGGGACGGGTATATACATGCATAATGAGTGACATGTGCACCATCTGAGGGATGGTCATGCTGGAGAATCAGACTTGTGGGGGGAGGGGGGAAAGGGCATTTATTGAAACCTTAAAATCTGTACCCCCATAATATGCCAAAATTAAAAAAAATACTGTGCAACCATTAAAATATGTTGATAAATTATTTTTAATCATGTGAATCACAGTAAGACATGAATTTATATGTTAATTGAAAAAAGTAGAATTTGAAAGTTTTGTATATATATTAATATATATGTATACACACATCTATATAACCTTAACAATAAAAAATAAGACATTCTGAGATGAAATACTGGAAGGCAAATTATTCAGTTGGTAATAATGATCATCTCTGGATGACAGGCTAATAAAAATTCTTCTTAATTTTTTTTTATATTTTCTAAATTTTACCCTTTGAGTCTATACAGTTTTGTAACCAAAAAACACCATAATTTTTGTATGCTTCAGTTTCCTTATCTGTGAAATAAGGACGATAATAATAATACCCACCTTCTAGGATGTTTCTGGTAACTGACTGAGAAAATGGTTACAAAGCTCCTGGCACAGTGCCTATCATATGCAAGCACTCAGCAAATAATAGGGGTTTTTTTCTATTTTGTTTTAAAGAAAGTATAGTGTGATTTAGCATATGAAATTTTATTTTACCCTCTCGTGTTATAATTTATAGACAATGATATTTCTAAGATTTTGTGAAATAATAAGGAAAAAAAGCAAGACTTTTACATATTCTATTCCATAAAACAATGATAGTGATGCTATGGTTTGTACAAAAGGATTCAGGGTAGGCACAGAAAGCAAAAGCAGATTACAAACACACATACACACACACACATGCCATAAAAACATGTAGATAACCATAATATTCATACACATAAATACTACACGTGCATACACAAAATATAATACAATACATATATAAAACAAATGTGTTGACACACATACCATCTACACACATACACGTGCACACAACACACAATACCACAAACAATACACACACAAATCATAAATACAAGCAGACACACACAATATCCACACGCAACACATGTACACATGAAAGACAATACCACACACATACACAAAACATACACAGTGATAAACACAATATCCATACACAAAACACATATGCACACATGAAACACATACATACAATACACACAAATCACGAACACATGTAGATACAACATCCACATACATACAACAAACACAAAATATAAAAGTTCAAATGTACACACATACACACAAAAAACATATGCATAGACACATACAATATCCACACACACAGAACACAGACTAATCATAAACACGTATATATACACAATATCCACATACACACTTATGACACATACATACACAAAATACAACACATATACACACACGCACGCACACATAAATGGTGTAGAACTGTAGAATTTTAGCACCTAGGCAGACAGCACAAAGAATTAATTTATGCCCTTTATTGCCAAAACCTGAGCCCCTTTCTTCTGAAACTGTCTCATACATTAAAAAAAAATCTGTATTCAAATAGTCCCCTCTAGTAAAATAAAGTGATGGCCCAACCCACGTTGCCTACGGATTATGTTTGCTCCCATTTTGAGTTCTACATTATGGATTCCTCATTCCACGTACAATAAAATCCATACCTAGGTCTGCATAGTTAGACTTGAAAAATTGCTTGCGTCCACAAAAGTACAGCTCGAAATCAGTTTCGTTCGACCTGCGCAAAGTGTATCCATTTTCAAGAGCAGCAAAAGCATCACAGGTATAACGGTAGGTAATGAAACCATAGCTGTCTCTGCAAGGGACAAAGAAGAGAAGTTCGAAGCTGGTTAAAAGCATTAGCATATAGGACTGTAACCCTTTCTACTTTGGGAGACTTCGCTGGTGCCAACGTCTGAGCCACTGCATCCATTTATCAGTGTGATTGTCCTGTCAAGCAGCTAAATACTTATTTCTGGGACAGGAAATCTCAACTAGAAAGATTAATAAATAGGGATGAAAGAAAATAAATAAGGTTCTGAACTCAACATGTCATCTGTCAAAGCACTTACACTGGCAACTCCCATCCCGGTAATCTTATGGCCATAATTTTTTACATACGTCAGCTTCTAAACAAGAAATAATCTTGAAGATTCTCACCCATCATCCCGTAGATTTACTGTGCACTCCTCAATTTCACCAAAAACTTCAAAACGGTCCCTCAGTTCTGTCCGTGTTGTGTCAGGTCTGATTTTACCAACATAAATCACTCGGCGTTCTTCCTGTGAGGGGGGAAGGAAGAAGAGACTTTTGCTAGCTCTGGAGCTGGGAAGGAAGTTGAATCTCTAGAACTATTCATGAATGTACAATCATGCAAAATGAGAACTCACAGAGGATGCCAATTAGAGCAAAACAGACTACAACTGAAGGAAAGACGACATTTGGGCCAAGTGCTACTTCCCATTGCCTCAGTAGCCTTCTCTCCTTGCTCACATGCATTCTTTCCTGCACCTCTACTCTTTTTCATCTTTCTTATCCACCTCTATTCTTCACTCAGATAAACTCTTACATGTTAGAAAAGAAATCCGGGCAAAGTAATCTCTTTTTTAATCCCTGAATAGATGAACAATATCTATTAAATATTTGAACACTTGTGACTTGATTATTAATCTTCAAAATTGGTATGAAAATGACCTGGCTTTCAAAACTATTTAATTTCTTATTAACTCAGAATCCTAATAATGAGATGTACAAATTCTGACATCCTCAAAAGAGTGGTTCTTAAAAAACTCTAGTACAAATAAAAATTACTTAGGGTGCTGGTTAAAAATGCAAAGTATTTGGGTTTATCCAACTTGCACTAAAATAAAATTGGAAGACAAGGTTCAACAACTTTCATTTTTTAACAAGCACACCCCAGTGATTCTAATGCAGGTGGTCCAAAGACAATAATTTAAGAATACAGTCTTAAAATGTAGGTCATTTTAAGCCATGGGTCTCTGAAGAATAAGAGCTAAATAAAAGAGGCTATAAATTTCACTTTGCCAATAAAGCTAGTCTTATTTTAAGAACAGAATAGAGGGGTGTGGCCTAATTTTCACAAGTGGAGTCAATAGCATCATAATCGGAAAGTCATGGGCACTTTATAACTTACAAAATATGGGAAGAATATTTTATAGCCTGAGGATAGGTTCCTTTTTTAAAAACAGGAATGTTTTCTTAATGTAAGAAGCAACCTTGTATCTGTGTTCCAAGAAGACAAGGCTAAAGGTGATGATGTCTCTCAAAATTGAGGAAAGGTTTTTTAAGAACATAAGAAGTTAATATAAAGAATGCACTGACCAACGAGTATGGATGCCTACCAAGGACAAACAAGAATGAAATGAATTTAAGGTTTGAAAGATTTAAGTCAGATTGAAGCAAGCACTAGAAAACAGAGGAATAAGGTACAGGTTTGGCTTGCCCAAGAGTTTTCTCTGGATGTACTAAGAGTCCTTGGTCTTGGATGATATAAAAAGCAAATTAGGCTGAAGACAAAATGATGCTCTGTGTTATTTACTGAACATCTTTCTTTATCATAGGCTCAGTATTTAACAAGGGACCCAGGAAAGAGTAAGCACTCAATAAGCACTTGTGAAATGTAACCCAACAATTCACAGACTCTGTATCTTCCTAGGTGATCTGGTCACCTACGCCTGCTCTTCTTTTACCACATGCAACACTCCTGTCTCTATTTTCATCAGGGAAGTAAGTTCCTCTTAGCTTCAGACTCAGAAAACCAGCTATCTACTTGACATCTCAGTTTGGCTGTGCCTTAGGCACCTCCAACTATACTAACCTTACCCAAACCGAACCCTCCTGTTTCACCCTCTTCCCGGCAGATCCGTTTCCTATGCTCTTTTATCAGTGAAGTGAACACTATCTTGCCAGTTATCCACGCACTCAGGTTTTTGTCCTGAATAACTTGCTAGGCAGTGTTCACTTCACTGATACAACGACATTGGGAAAAAAACAGCCTCCCTCTTGGTCCTCTTCACATATCCAATTATTCATTAAATCCTGATGATTTTTACCTCCTAAATCTTCTCTTTGTTCTGTCTCCTTTATTCCATCTTTCCTAAGCCACCTTTCCAAGCTGCCAGCTCTTTCTGGACTAGTATAACTGTCTCTTAATTTGCATCCCGTGTTCTTGTTTATCCTCCTCCAATCTATTCTTTCACTGAAATCACAATGATCTTTGCTGAGAAAAAACAAGAATCCAATCATGTCAATTACCATCTAACGCATTTAAATGGCTTTGTATAACTTTCGACTAAAGACCATAATCATTAAAAAGACCTAGACGGCCCTGCGTGGTCTGGAATTGTCTTCATCAAGGGCTTTATCTCCTAGTTTCATTATTTCCTTGGCTCTATTTTCCAGCCATACTGATCTTCTATCAGTCCCCAGTATAGACTGTGCTCCTTTCTCCACAAGGCCTTTGCACACACTGTTCCCCTGCTACCTGGAACATACTATTCACTACACCCCTTCAAGTCTCTCTCTTTCTCTCTCTCTTGCACACACACACAATCTACATTAAACTCAACAATCATTTTCTTTCTGAGACTTGAAATGAGATCAAACATCCTATTAGCTGCCCTTATAGAAAACTCTATTTCTCCTTTGTAGGTCTACACTTAATTGTAATTAATGGTTTATTCATTGTTCAATGTCTTCCTCTCCAGCACAATGGAAGATTCATGAAAGTAGAGACCCTATCTGTCCTAGTCACTACTGAGGGTAACTGAAATATCACAGAGTCTTGAATATTTATTGTAAAAACAATCCATTGCTAATCAATCCTTTTTAACACTTAACCCTGTGCCTTTCTTTACATCAAGGATGCCTAAGTGTGGTTCTTATTCTCTGAGACTCTCCATGCAAAAGAGAATGAAACTTGGGTTTGGTACTTTACCAAAGGAAAAACCTTGCTCAAGTAGCTTAGCTGAGTGAATTAACAAAGCTTTGCATGATTTGTTTTCACAGGCTTAAATGTAAGAGGTAGGGAGTAGCTACGTGTTTGCAGGACTCTCACTCACAAAAATCACCTATGAAAATCAGAGATGGGACTCCATTGAAAAAGCTAGTAAAACACAACTCCTCTGACAATAGCTATTGGGCCTAAATAACTGACCAGACGAAGCACAGCAAACGGAGCAGGCTGCCTGACTGGCTTCCATGCAGATTACATGTCTCAGTTGCAGACTGTAATTGTGTTGTTACAAAGCACCCAGCACAACCCGGCAGTCGATAAGTGCAAATAGACGAGGCACAGGCTGCAGCAGCCTAGTCACACAGTTTAGCAAGGGAATCACAACACTGCATTCCATTCTATTTCCAAATCCAGCTCTAGCCAAACAGCCGAATGTGATGGGACTGTTATCCAAACTTAAACTTCCTGGCGCCTGCCTGCATGGGTGTTATGGATTTTATTTTTTTAATAGACTTTTAGGAAAGTTACTACTGTATAGAGAGAAAGGCGGGGAAATGCAGAAGAGAGAGAAAGAAATTGAGCAAAGAAATTGCTTGACTACCATTATGGGAATACACACAGCCTACGTATTCAAGGAAATTTGAAGTTAAAGCTAAAATCGACCATATGTACGCCCATATGCAGACATATTGGGATAGTCTCTGAATTGCAGCTTTACACCAAGTTGTATGCAACAATGATCCCACATAAAAGATAAACCAGAGGACCTTTTATACCGGATACTGATACATTCTGCAGTAAAAAAATAAAAGGCAAAACTTAGAGCGGAAAAACAGGAGACCAAAGAGCTGCTCCATAATCACTCACATTACCTATTTGTCTATCATTTCCTTTTAGGAAACACAGGAATGGGACCATGCCTTGCTACCTTGCAAAGATCAGAAATTGAATACATGTTGAAATTCTCATTTGAGAAAATTATTGAAGTGCTTGATTTTCCTAACACTAAAAATGAAAATAAAAAGCATCCCAACGTCTAGAAAGCAAAGACAAAAAAATCTTTCTAAGATTGGCCAACATGTCTAGCAAAGAACTGATTCTTTTAAACATGTTGCAGTTGTATTAGACAGATGAATAGATTTCATATCTTTAAAAAAAACCTTAACATTTGCAGCCAATTTTTCAAGACATTAATTTCTAAACAGGAGATGAAAGGAAAAGAAATCAAAATGCTTAATAACATTTCCAACTTCTTAAAGGCTTGGAGGAACTCTAAACCTTTGGAAACAGCTCCTTGAAAAATGATTTTCAGACCAGTTTTCACTGTTGAGGAGGATGGCACATTTATCAAATAACTTTTAGCTTCAATTTTCACAAAAGCTAGTTTGCTGATGGGGTGGATAATAAAATTCAAGATTTATGTTGCATTAACAGCTATAGTAAATCCTCATTATACCAAAACACAGGGGATAAATTAAAAAAAAAAAAAAACTGACTGAATTAACTGACTCTGCATTACCAAAATCTTTATCTACTAGAGTACAGAGCTTCCCACTTAGCAGAGGAAAACATAAAATGGTTGTTTCCCATCAAATAATAAGCTACTCCTGGTAAAAGGGGTTCGACTAAGAAAAAGACAGAAAATGGTAGCAATATTAACATTTATTGAACTCTACCCTATGCCAAGTATTATGTTTGGTGCTTCTTTATGGGTCCTCTCTCTAAAATGTCCTGCAATGCTAGGTAACAAGGAAGAGCCTAATATAATTTGCATTTTGGTTCCCTCTAAATCTCCAAGTCAGAATAATGTAAAAATTCCTCCTCCTACTAGCTAAGGAAACTGTATATCAATTTCGGCAATGGAAGATTTATGTTCATTTCCAGATTAGCTACAACCTAACTTCCTCCGAAGTTCCAAAGATATAAAAACAACGGGAATGAGTGAATGATATACCTATGTGCTCCTACACATAGAAAAGGTGAGAGAAGTGGAGGGCCATGGAAAGGTACCAATGGCCAGAAAGATATATTAATATCAAAACTCTAAAAAATGCTAAAAATGTTTTTTTTCTTGCCCTTAATATTGATTATTCTTATCTAATTTAGTAGGCATTCGATATGTGCCTACTGCTAGGGGGTGTTCTTAGGGAAGAAACAAAATTATAGCATTAAATTTCCCAAAGTTACCCCCATCGAAGCACCACCACCCAGGAACGTTCCTGCTTAGCGTGTAAGGCTGGTTAACGTGAACAAATCCAGGCTAGTCTTCTTAAGAACTAAAAGGCAAATAAAAGCTAAAATGCAAGC